CTGATGCTCGTCAATGAGACAGAGAGACAGAAAGCGGGGACGGGGAGAGCGGGGTGGGGGGTGGGCGGGGGTAAAGATCTAGAGATGCGACTGAACACGGATTCTCCGGCAACGAGAGTGGGAAAATGAATGCATACACCATTCTCACATGTCAAATATGAGAACTGACACGGTACGAAGGATCAGGTTGTACACTCTGACATGCAAATTACAATAAAAGTGAAACACAACCCCAAGAAAGAGATCAAACCCCACTCACCTATTTGAAAATCTCTTGTCATGAGGTTCAGTTGATGGAATCTGCCAGGCATTAATGCGTCTCAGGTGTTTACGGGATAAGTGAATACGAAACCCCTCTAGCATCCAGCGTCGAACTGTTGGTCCTCTCCAGTCCCGCCAAGGCCAACTCTTCTCCTTTGGTCCGAACACCGGACCGTAAATACTTGGGACAATAGAGGCTGGAAGCCCGGGCAATGTTCCCAAGGCGAGGACAATCTGATCAGACCAACCAAACCTTGCGCCGAGACCTCCGGCTGCGTAGGTTAGCATGTTGGGTTGCAGACCGTGCAAAGGACCATTTTGAAAGAACGAGAATTCTTCCAATTCATCCGGGGCCCGTTGCATTGTCGACAGACATGCCGGGCCGGACGACGGCGAGACATCGAGTGAACGTTCACCCGGGCTACGTAGGGATGCCGGTCGACAGAACACATGACGTGTGATATCTGTCAAAGTCCCTATGGGTGATGATGATGATGATGAGAGCAGAGCATCGAGCGGTTTACGTGTGCTGAATTTAGTCTTCAGATGTGGAATCAAACCGATGACTCGTAATTTCAACGGTTCCGGGGACGGCGCGGCCGGATACCAAGGCGGTTCAATCACGTCTTTTGGCTGAAAAGGATGTGAACGGGAGGGGGGAGAGGAATTTTATTTAAGCTATTCAATTGAAAAGCAAATTTCCGGTGGAATCTTTTGAAACGAAAAGAAATTATTTTAAAAAAACAAAACAAGACAAGAAACAACAATGGTTCAAGTTTCCAGACGGTATTGTCAGTCAGATTGATTTTGTGTAGTAGTGCTGCTGGTACATAATTGTCCGGCTTCCTTGATTATTGCTTATACATTTGCGGTATATCAGATAAGATTTATATCAATTGTGTAAGAAAAATACAAGTCCCAATCAACTCAAAAAATGTATGCTAGATTTTAAGAGAAAAAAAACACAGTATCGGAACAGAGCGGATGCTACAACGTGTTTTGTTTTTTGTACAAACAAACGATAAGACAGAATAGCCTGTTCCTCGGCCTCAAATATCGGAACATCGTAGTCAGGATGTGGAAAAATCAGGACATTGGTTCCGTTTCAGTTGTTATCCTAACTGACCAAGCTAAGAGGGCTTCAGTCAAATAGACCTGATCATATTAGCCGACTCATCCCTTGAATACGATAGAGGGGAATGTTTCCCAGTCATTGGTGAATGAGGTAATAGGTTATCAAAAGTGAAACAACAAGCAGTTTTCGCCTGAATTCGGTAATGCGCATAAGAGTAACAGACCGCCTAATTGATAGTTGAAGAGCTCAGAAAAAATCCGATAACAATATTTAGTAGGGGAATAGAAAACGGGAAGTAGGTACCAACAACAACGGCAACAACAATCAGTAACATGCTTAATTCTTAGCTCGCCAGTTGTAATGATGAATAGAAGATTAGAACAATAAAGTGACCTTAATACGGTATTCGGAAGTCAGCGTGACTTCAATAGAAACAACTCCTGGTATGTGTGAACGAATGGGTAGGTAATTGCGACAATGTAACGGCAGAGCATTACCAGAAATTGTGTTATCTCACAGTTCGACGGGGCTGTGGTAGCACCATGGATTGATAGGAAGCAGACGAGCGTAAAAGTGGATAAACAAAGAGGTATATAAGCTCAGGAGGCGGGTGATATCGTTTGGTAACATGTGAAGGACAAATACATAAACACACAAACATATTCCATTTCACCTGTTCGCCGATTTTCAACATTTTGTCAACACAAAATATATGGATGAATATGGTAGCAACGACATGAGTGATCCAACAACCCATTACAGGAACGTGATGCTGGAGTGTATTTTACACGGCTCCGAAATCATTTTGTTTAGTAGCGGTGATCGGAGTTAGCTAATTATGATGATGATTTGACTGCAGATCAAGAGGAGTAAACTATCACCAGCAATGAGAACTACGTTTATTATCGGACAGACGATGTTGTATTACATAAAAGGAGTGAATAGGTGAACAACATCTGGGCAATCGAGGATAGAGTGAACCGTTTTTTGATTGACACGAAATGCATATGGTCTGCCAATACACTAATGGCTAGTTCAAACGATCACCAGTACCAGGAAGTGGAATACTGTAATCTAACCGTCTATGCATGCTCGGTTGTGAGGAACTTTTTGGTCCTATCATAAGAAACACACACGCTAACTAATGTGCGCTGATCGAACCAAAGATAGTTTGGAACATGAGTCAAGCTCTCAATAAAAATAAATCAAAGCCCTCTCACACACACCTATTGCAAAAAAGAGTATTTCTATTACTGGCGTGTGTGGCTATTCACTTTCTTGCGAAACCCTTGTCTCATCACGCTGTGGCGCACATATTTCTCTGGCCTAGTCGCACCACGACATGATCGGCACATTGTCCACATGCACCCTGCTTTTCAGTTTGGAGCTCTCACAACATTAGCACACACAAACAAACAAGCACACGTACAGACAGTTCGAGGGAAGTACAGCAACGCGATCCCCGAACAGAAACCTGTTCACACGGGTCTAGATTGGGGTTGGTCACAGGTGAGAGACAGAGAGCGCGCTGTGATAAACAGATAAACAAAAATCTCAATTTGTTCAGTTCTGCCCTTCCCACACCTGCCTCACGGCCATATACAGCATTTGACTATTTCCGCTAAAACTGTCCATCACAGTGTACTGCTTAGCCTAATCAGTTTGTGGTCGAAAAGGGATTCCAAGGGAGCAGTTTCAGGAGAACAAATTTTGCACGTCCATTCAGTGTGTGTGTGTGTGTGTGTGTGTGTGTG